GTAAAGACTTCAACCATATAGTTGTTTCTTCACATTACAATATCAACTTAAATAAAAATTTCAGTTCTATTAAAAAAACCAAAGAATATTTTGTAAATAGTTAAAAGTGATAATGAAAAAAAATCTAATTTTAATCTCAATTTAACTAAAATATTTCCTAAATGTATTTTTATAATCGTTAAAAGTTTCCAAATATGTACCTTAAAATAACCTACAATAACAATAGCTAAAAATAACTCTATATAAAGGATTATATTGTTACCTTTAAAATTAAAAAATAATGTTTGATGTTTTAAATAATTATAATGATAGAAATTAAAACATTAAGCAAAATAAATTCTAAAAAAATAATTAACAATAACAACAATTATAAACAACATTAAACCATATATTATATTAAATTTTATTCATGTGTAACTCGATGGTAGAAGTCATTTAAACGATTGAGATTATGAAGTTATAGTAGATGTATATATTATCATATAATTCAAAATAATCAATATATTATATCAATATTTTAGTATAAAAATTATTATATCAAATTTAACAACAATGTTATTGTTATATTTAAAAAGAAAGCATATATTTGTAAGGACTCCAATTATATAGGTGTTTCTGCGTAACGCGCGGGCATTCGCCTAGTATCTAATAAAGGAAGCGTTTTTCCTTGATTCTTATGCATTTGAAACCCCCTAATTTAATTTCCTTGATTCTTATGCATTTGAAACCCCATAATACAACTCAAAAGACTTTTTAATAATAGTTATTAATTGGTTTTTTAATGTAAAAATAACATGAACAACATCAACATAACAAGACCAAGTATAAATACGGTGAATAATATTAATATTTGGAATTATCCTTGGCATCACAAGGTGGATTTATTGAACCCTAGAAAATATTGGAAAATTTGAAGTCATATTAGCAAATGTATTGCGACATATAAATTGTTTAAATGTCAATTGGTCTTAGTTTCCATTAAAGTCATAATTTCCTATTTGATCCTCTAAAATATCACATGTGAACTAAAGGCACATCATGCGTATTTTAATGTTATACTGATACAATCGATACCAATGAGTTGTCATGCTCCATTTCAAGTCATGAGAAGGTAATTCTTTTAGCTTTCATTGTTTTGTATATATATACATTTACTCTCAACCAAACATTTTTGTGGTAGGGGTGTGTTTTTATTAGTCTCTAATAGAAATTAGATGTTGGTATCCAAACTATGCCTATGTGGTTTTAGTTTGCTGATGTTGGAATATGAAAATTATTATGATGCATAGATATGCATTTAACAAATAATAAGTACATCACATTATTTACTTAGTTGATATTAATTGATATAAATGTCACTTTACACATTTGCAGTTGCGTAATCTTGATTGAAGCAGAGCAGTAGGGGTGTATGGTGATAAACAAACATAAATTTCGTAGTATTTGTTGGATATCTTGGCTTTGATAGAAAAGAATCCATCAAATACAAAAAAAAACAACATAAATATATTTCTAATTATGAAAACATTGTATTTTGAATAACATGTAATATTAGGGTAAAATATGAAAGGTGTTGTGATATGAATATCAATAACATATATTAATTTTAATATTTATTTGTCAAAATTTAAAATACATAATTTTACGTTGCGCAACGCGCGACTATTCGCCTAGTATTATAATAAATGAAAGTTTTTTTTTGTCATATGTCATACTCTTATTCAGTTTACCAAATGTTATTTTGTGGTTATTTTGAATTAATTTCTTTTCCACATGTCATTTTATGGGTTTTCTTATTTTAATTAATTCCATATAATACTTTGATATAACAATTAAGATAAATGTAGTGATAAATGAATATCAATTTCATTAATGGACTTACCTTTTTATTTCAAAATTCTCAAACTAAAGACCATTAATTTATTTTTTTTATTTTTTTAAATTTAAAAGATAAAAAATCTATTTTAATAATTCATTAGTTTTCTTATTTTCTGATAAATCCAAAGTTTTTAAATATTTAGACAATTATATTTAATTTTTAATTAACTCATATAATACATGGGTCCCACACCTATTATATATCTATATATATATATATATATATATATATATATATATATATATATATATATATATATATATATATATATATGAAAAAACATCATAAATGGTCCCTGTGGTTTCCTCAAATTTGAAGTTTAGTCCCCATGGTTTAAAAACATCATAGAGGGTCCCTGTGTTTTCAAAACTTTTGATGTTTGGTCCTTTTTACTAACTTTCTCAACTTTTGGACGTTAAATGAAGGACATTTCCATCGTTTCACTAACAAGGACTATTTATGATGTTTTGTCTTACCTAAAAAATATATAACTATTTAATATATAAAGGGTCCTACTGTCTCCCTCTCTCTCTATACTTATGGTTCTTGATTTATAACGAAAATCCCAGAAAACCAAATTTGTCTGTACCTTGGCTGAGTTGTTCATTCTGTTTTTTTATATATTAAAACCGCTGAATCTTTCAGTTTACACTCCCTTTTGGTTTTAATTTTCTGGTATGGTTTCCTTTTTTCTGCTCCTATTTATATTCATTCAACCTTGTAAAACAGATAAAACAAGCTTTTTGATGAAAACCCCACATGAAATCTTGGCTTGGAAAGTTTTTTTCGAGGTGTATTCAATCATGTTATTTTGGTTTTGGATTCTGAAGCGATTGAAAAAATTGGAGAAAACGATTGGTACTTTTTCTGTTTTCGGGATAAGAAGTACCTCATCGGATTATGAACAAATAGAGTAACCGCCGTTGGTTACTGGAAAGCTACCAGACAAGATAAAGATATTTACAAAGGGAGGTTGATTGCCTGAATAAAGAAGACCTTGGTTTTCTACATGGGAAGAGATCGAAAACTAGAAAATCAATTGTTTGTGTCCGTATTAAAGAGAAAATACGGTGTGTGATTCAAGATAGTAGTTGCAGACTGAGAGAGGGAAAGGCATATCAAAGATAGACGTCTACCACCTTAACTAATGATTGTTGTCTTCACTGATGGAGAATGATTCTGGTTTATGATCGAAAGCGTTCTTCACCTTCATCTCCTAAACCTAAAAGATCCTTTAATGGCAAAAAGTCGAAAGAAAATTTGATGAGCAAGCTAATGTCGCAGAAGTAAAGCAAGCAAAAACCAAAAAATTCTTTAATGGTTGATACATTGAGAAAGAAAAAGAGGGAGACAATATGGGTTGGAGAAGAAGAAAATATGGGTTGAGTAAGAAGAAGATGAAGATAGGGGTTTGACTTTTTCTTTACCAGAGAGAGAGAGAGAGAGAGAGACCTATAATATTTTAAATAATTATATTTATTTTTTCTTTTTTATAAAAAATAAGAGAAAACATCATAAATGGTCCCTGTGGTAGTGAAATGACAAAAATGCCCTTCAGTTAAGAGTTAACGGACAAAATTTAACGGAGTTAGCAATAAGGACCAATCATCAAATGTTTTGAAACCATAGGGACCATCTATGATGGTTTTAAACCACGGGGACTAAACTTCAGATTTGGAGAAACCACATGGACCATTTATGATGTTTATATATATATATATATATATATATATATATATATATATATATATATATATATATATATATATATATATATATATATATATATATATATATATATATATATATATAAGGCTCATGCAAAAATGCAAACTATATGTGAAAATGAAGGAACCAATCACATATCGCCACATCATTATTCATGTTTTCTTCAATTTATTACTTAAATTTATTAATAAAGGGTAAGATAGTAATTAACATAAAATAGTGATTGAATTCGTTCTTCATATAAATAACCGCAAACAAAAACTGACATATTAATATGAAAATAACTTCTTCCGTATGTTTATGATCGACAAAATCATCTCCATTAGAATCATTGATTGATTTAGTTACAATATCAAATTGAAGAGATGTCTAGTAAAGAATATGAAGATATTTGTTCTACTTATTTAATTGATAAAGCAAAGGAATCTTCCCAAAATTTAACTATCGGAAATTCAATATCAACGTTAGATGATGTTGATAAAGGCAAATTTTCATTCTGTATAATTACTATATTTTTTATTCTAATATTAAAAAATTATAAATACCTAACATTACAATACTATGATACACACTCATTACATATATTTTTACGATTATACTGAAAATTAATTTCAACCTTCAAACTGATGTTCATGATCCGAAGAAAAAAAAAGTTAATCGTATGATTAATTAGATTTCATTTACTAAATATTTACATATAAATACTTATTTCAATAATCTTTCTGAATATTGGACAGGAAGTAATGAATCGGAAGACTCATTCAATGTTTTAACTATTGAACCTTCAAAATCAACATTCAACAATGGTGATAAAGACAAGTTTAATAAATAATAAGATCAATATTTCTGATGTTATTATTAAATAATTAAATTTAAGATAGATTACTAAATTCTATAGAACAATTACTAATAATTTTAAAATAAACAAACTGACTCTGAAGTTCAACTTTCAAAAGGAACTACAAGTGCAGCAGCAACAGAAAAGGATAAAGGCATGTTTACCTAATTTATATTAAATACATAATTATGAACATATTTAATATATTTCAATATTGAGCTTTTTGAATATTTGACAGGAACATCTTATATAAATCAAGATGATGTGTACATTCCACATGTTGCTGCAGATATCATTCCTAAAAAAGGACAAATTGTGTCAAGTTTAAATGAAGGAATTGAAATGTACAGAAATTATGCAAAAGCAGCTGGTTTTGGAATTAGATTAGGAACAACAACCAAATACGGGGATCTAAGTCTAAGGAAAAAACAAGTAAGATGCAACAGATATGGAAATCCAAAAAAAAAAAAAAAAAAAACCATTGATACTCTTACATCCAAACGACTGAAAAAACAGGAAAGAAAATCATATTCTAAGGTCACATGATGTATGGCAATGATTGGTTTTGATAGAAATGTTGCAACAAATATAATCACTGTATATGCATTTGAAGACACACATAACCATCCACTTACTGAATTTAATGAAGAAAACATCTGCTCTCCAAATCATTGTCTTAGTATTTTTGATCAAGAACTAATTGTTAAAGCTTCAACGATCAACATTGGTGCCACAAAAGCACACAAGTTAAGAGCATCATTAAAGGGAGGATATGATAATTTGCCAGCAGCAAAGAATGATTTCAAAAACTTTTGGAGAGATTATACAAATATTGTTGGACCAAATGATGCTCAATGTGTTGTAGACCAGTTGATAATTCACAGAGATACTTATAAAAATTTCAATTTTCAATATAAGTTGGATGATGATGTGCTAAATGCTATGTTTTGGGTTGATGAAACAAGAAGAGATAACTACAATAAGTTTTCTGATGTTATATCAATGGATGCTACTTATAGAACAAACAGGTAAAATTTATATTTATTAAATAATATTACATAATAAGGGATACATTTTACAAATATTTTCAGGTACAATATGATATTTGTTCCTTTCACTACAATAAACAATCATGACAAGACAATCAACGTTGGAGCAGGACTAATATCAGATGAAACAATTGAATCATACTCTTGGTTATTAGAAGCTTTTTTATCATCACATAAGAAGAAACCAACAATGATTCTATCAGACATGGATGCAGCATTATCTTGTTCAATAGCAAAGGTGTTTGAAGGATGTACTCACAGATTATGTATGTGGCACATAATGTCAAAAATACCATCAAAGGTAATAAAAAATTTAATTTAGTGAATTACATATAGCTTATGAAAATATACTAATAAAACCAAATTTAACATGACAGATTGAAGCTGACTTAGTTTCAAATACAGATTTCAAGAAACGCATAAATCAACTAGTTTGGAATATGAATATTAAACCATCAGAATTTGAGAACAAATGGGATTTGATGTTGAATGAGTTTCATTTGAAGGAAAATAAATGGTTGGCTGATATGTTCAACAAAAGAGATAAATGGATTCCATCCTATTTCAGAGATATACCAATGTGTGGACTTATGAAGACTACATCTCGATCTGAACGTTCTAATTCCCTTTTCAATGTTTTCTCAAGTCCAACCAACTTACTTGTTAATTTTATGTTCAACTTTGACAATGCACTTTCAAAGCAGCGTCATGAACAAAAAAGATTAGACATTGCATCAAGAGATACTTCTCCACAACTGCTATTTCCAAATGAAAATTTGAAAATAGAAAAGCATGCATCATTGGTATACACTCGAGAAGCATTCATAAAAGTGCAAAAACAAATAAAAAAGGCATTCTATCAGTGTTTTCAAAAAAATTCGGTTTTGATTGATGGTCGTCAACAATGCACAATTGTATACAAAGAACTAAAATCAGGCAAGCGACCGGAATTTAAGGTATTCAATTATGCTACTTCATTATTATTTTAATTTAACATTATTTAGAATTTATAAATATATTTTTGAAATAAAATTTTATTATTACTTCTCAGGTTTCTTTTGATGCAAAAGATGAAACGATTGAATGTGAATGTTTGCATTTCACATTTTTTGGAATCCTTTGTAGTCATGCTTTCAGAATTCTTATAGATTATGACATTACCATGATACCTGAAAAATACATTCTGGATAGATGGAGAAAGAACATAGTGGATATTGGTTTTCAGAAGATAAGCAAAAAATGGAGAGTGTGCAGTACAGAAATTACAAATTCTTGCATGATGCAACTTCTTTTTTTGAGAAATGCGTTGAATCGGTTATTCATGACAAAGAAAAACTACAAGAATTGGTGAACTCTCTTCAACAATTAAGTGAAACATGTGGAAAGGGTGTTTCTACAAGATCAAGTTCAATTCCAATAAAAGATGTGATTGAAAATATCATCGGAGTTCCAATTTCAAGTGATGTGAAAATCAAAGTACCAAGTGAGATAAAAACAAAAGGAAGTGGAAAGAGGAGTCGAATCAAAAGTGCTGCAGAAAAAGCAATAGCAAAAGCACTTAAACCAAAACGCAAATGCAAAGGATGCAACCAATTCGTCAACCATGATATAAGAAATTGCCCAATAAATCCTTCAAATGTGCTTAGGCCTTTCAAAAAACATCAGTAACTTATATATGAATTTTAGATTTGTTTGTTGTTAAGCTTCTCTATATTAAAACTATTACTATTAGTCGCATTAAACAATTTGAATTTTGAATTACGTACCTATTCTTTTTCCTTCAACATCTTCTCTGCAACTCTTTTCACCATGTCTTTTGACAAATGTACAATTCCTAAAATCATGTTGAACCAACGTATTTCAAAAATTACACAATCTCATTTGTTTTTTATACATCTTATGTTGATGAAAAATATACATTATATTGCAATATATATTTTTATTTATAACTTACACACACACACACACATATATATATATATATATATATATATATATATATATATATATATATATATATATACATGCCACTAATCTTCCGAAATATATGTTAAAACTATTTCAAATCATCAACTAAATATTCAGAAACATATTAATTAAAAATATTAACTCTAATAAGATTGAAAAATATAATATTAGATATTACACATGTGTATATATACGCAACTAATCTTTAAATATATATATATATATATATATATATATATATATATATATATATATATACTATATTACCTAATAAAATGTTTCATTTATTGCTTAAATCTCTTCAAAATTAACAATTACAAAAAATATTAAAAATAATAAATAGAGAAGTCAAATTAACTTAAATACAATAAATACATAAAACCCTTTCACATACAAACCTTTTCATCTAATAGTGACTTTATATTATACACATGTACATACACGCAACAAATCTTCAGAAATATATAATACTATATAACCTAATAAAATCTTTCATTTATTACCTAAATCTATTCATAAATGGAGAAGTCAAAACAACTTATTTACAATAAATACAAACCATTCTTTCACATAAAAACCTTTTCATCTAATACTAACTTCATAATTTATATTTAAAAAAAATTTAAAGAAAAAAAAATAATGTAAAAACTATATCAAATTAATAAAAAAAAAGAAGGTCATATATTATGTTGACATGCACGTCTTTAGGTTAGTATGTAACGGTTGTTGGTGACATTTGGAGATCGATGAGCTTAATAACTTATAGAACACTATAGAGATGTTAAGTTTGAAATGGCTAAGCAAGTTATCTTTGTCTCATTTGTTAATTATGAAACTCTTATCATATCCTTTTTCATAACCTACTTTTGAGTTGTTAAGGGAATAAAGTATTTGAAATTATGAGACTTTTTTCGAAATTTATTACTTAAATGTTTTTAAAAATCTTTTTATTTATTATTTAAATCTATTCATAAATAGAGAAGTCAAATCACCTTAATTACAATAAATACAAAGATTTCTTTCACATAAAAACCTTTTCATCTAATATTAACATTATAATTTATATTTAAAAAAAAATTAAAGAAAAAAAATGTAAAAAACAATAAATAATAACAACACTATTATCACATTATAACATACAAAAAAAATTATTTTCTATATATCAACTTTTTAAAAAAAGGTAATATATATCGATTAGTTTTATAAATTACAAAAAAAAATAATTCATAAAAAGATAAGTATTATCATCTTCAATGTATAGATAATATGATTAGCTAAACCTATAACCGCCAAAATAGCTATACCACTTATTGAAGCAAATGATGGCAGAAAATTAATTACTCCTCTACTTACTCTGATTGTTACCGCTATATATTCCTCCTAAACATAAACATAAACTTAAGGAAGAAAACACATACATTGATGGCTTCTGAATCATCCCTTTGGGTAGTTCGAAACTCCTCGGATTATCTTGATCTTTACGACACATATGGTATGTTCTTTATTGTTAAAATCGTATACTATTAATACTTATATAATATTCTTTTCAATATTCATTCAGGGTGGGAAAACAAAAAGTACTTCACGATGATGCTACATCATGGAGGTAGTTTCGAATACTACCCAAATCGCGATTACGTTGGAGGCAAGATTGACTATGTCGACTTCATCGAGGTTGAAACTTTCTCCCCAAAGGTATTTCAAAGCATCTTCACTTCTTTTGGAATGATTTCATTAACTTTGTCAAAAAAAAGTTAAAACAGAAGGTTTTTTTTGTGTTCAAGAAGTTTATTTGGAGCATAATCAAACCACTGTTACAAACTTCTTCCCAAAAACTTTAAACTTTGCAATAAACAGTTATCTGTGCACGAAACTCTATTCAATAGTTGCATCAAATCCAAATATTACTGTTTGGGAGGCTAGGATCATGCTTTTTGACAAATTCAACTTTTGGATAAATGTTGACAAACTCATTGAAGCTTTGGATTACACCAAGTATCAAGTGAATCTTCTGGGGAAGTAGATGAAGCTGCAAGGTGAAAAGGTGGGAATTTGGGTTTTTTGGGTTTTCGGGTTTAAATGGTGTTATCATTAATATTTGGACGTTTTTATAATATGTTTATGTGCTCAAACTTTTGGGATGACTGTAATGGGGACTGTAATATATTTTTAAATATTATCTATCGTGGTTGTTATAATGTTAATATTATATATTATTGTTGATATCTTACTCTGAAAATTTTAGATATGATGGTTTTAAAAATTATAGATACTATGTATTTATATATGTTAATATTATATATGATTGTAAATATATTAACTTTATAAAAGATTATACATATACAATCAAAAACAAAAACAAAAAAACGTAGCCACACTTTTCATATATTATTATAAACTTATATTCGTAGAAGTACATTACATTCAACCAAAACAACAACAACCAAAAACAAACACACATTTAAAAAACTTCATAACAAATTGTTCTACTAACTCATTCATAACCATTACTATGAATACTTCTACATAAACATAACGACTTGAATTTTACTTCAACAAAGATATATCAAGGACCAAAAGCAGCTAACCTAGCTGCTATATTGATAATGCCTTCATGATACATTACACGCCTGTCATTTGAATAAAGCTTTTGATAATCAACAAGAAGTTGCTCAACTTCATTTTTCATTAGATTTACTTCACTCAATAGAATTTTCATAGAATATCTTCTTCGAAGATTTCTAAGTTGCAAAATCTGCTCAAAACTTTCCATTTTAAAACCACATCTCCATTGAGCTAAAGGACCACCTTTATAAGTTTCCATATGACGCATCAAAAAAAATCCCACAATCATTACTGTTACCTCTTGTTTTCCACGTCATATATTGATCAACAAATTCCATTTCATACATAACTGAAAAAGCCATAAAATGTTTTATGTCTTGAAGATATCTACCAAACATATATTTCTGCATTTACATATAAACAAAAATTCAATATAAATTATAAAAAATATATATAACTCAATAATATACATAAACATTTCAACAAAAAAAATACAAACAAACTTACCAGATTTTGAATTAGATGTGGGTATGGTTTTTCAGAAGATCTATACAATATGTTGTCCAATATGACAGCTTTGCGGTTTTTAAAATAAAAAACAAACACAAAATAGTGACTGTTTGCACATGCAGGAAAGAACACCTAAATAAACATAAACAACTTCATAGTAAGATACAAACACAAAACGAATAAAATTTCAAATAAAATTAAACTTACCAAATCAATTCCTTTTAAATTTCTTCGTTTTTTAGACTCTCCCAAACAATGAAAAACATTTTCTTTAAAATTCTCGTACACATCATCATATTTACATGCTTCACTATGCATGTATGCAGGATCCTAAATACAAAACAAAAATTCAATAAACATCATAAAAATATACTAACAGCTACTATACATACCAATACTGCTGTCTTGAAGAAGAAACATGAAGGAGTGTCCAAATTCCTAGCTCTCTCATCATAGTTCAGCACTTCAACAAAACAATCAATAGTCCCGGAAAAAAGAAATTCTCCCGGATATAAGCTCTCAAACATGTATCTTTCCCCACGTTGACCATTTATGCTATGAAAAAGATCATCCCTATTAAAATAAAATTAAAAAACATTAACTTAAATATTATTTATATATAAAAATATATATACATATACACAAACACATTACATTGGATTCCCACATAAACTGAATAGCCAATTAGACTTGATATTCTCCTCCTTCGTCAAATTACTATCAATCTTAATAGCTCGTACAACAAATGGAGACCTAAGCACTGGAGGTAACGTGTGACTTCTCTTTGGTCTCGATGAAATCATATCTTTCTCAAGAATTTTAACTTTTTCACTTTCATCGCAAGACTTAGGTTCATTCCTTTTAACTGAATCAGAGCCTATTCCAACAGAAACATAATTATTGTGCACATAACTATCAATACCTGGATTAACTTTTGGAGGAGTATACATATCATCCTCAATTCCTAAATTAATAGAAGGAATACTCTCAACTACACACTTTTCCTTATGACCACCCTCGCAATCCAGAGGCAACTTAGTTTCAATAAATCCAGATTTCCCGAACAAATTTGCCGTTCCATATTTATTAACAACAACACCTGGACTCACTTTTGGAGGAGTATGCATATCATCATCAATTCCTAAATTAAAAGAAGGAATACCCTCAACTATACACTTTTCCTTATGACCACCCTCGCAATCCACATGCAACTTAGTTTCCATATTTCCAGATTTACCAAACAAATTTGCCGATCCATATTTATTACCACCAACGATGTTGTTAATAGACTGCCCAACATCTCGAAATTCATTAGACTTATCATCACAACTACTACTTTTTCCAGATGACTGAAAAGCATATTCGCATTTATAATTACTATGACGAAAAGCTTTAAATGCAGAACATAACTCTTTCAGCTTCAATCCATAAGACTCTACTATTTTCAAATTTCCATGCGTTTTAAAGGCTTTATCCACTTTCTTAGACATATCTACTCAACACCACTTCATTTCTGAATGAAACTCCTGATAACAATAAAAAAACATAACAAAGTATAATTAATATATATATATATATATATATATATATATATATATATATATATATATATATATATAAAACTTAAATTTTAAACATAAAAACAACATACAAACAAATAAATCATGTTCAGCTTCAAAAATACACAAATAACATTACTTACTAAAATTGATCCTCTAGAAACTTCATCAACACTTTCCACTGTAGTAGATGGCCTTCCAAAACCTCTATTAGAAATTTCATTCATTTCTCTCACTTTCAACTGCTCTAAAGTCCAATTATTAATTACTGGATATCTTCTAACCATTAACATTTGCCTACATTGAATCCTATCAACATATAGAAACTACAAAAAAAAAAAAAAACAAAATATAATAACAAAATATAAATATTACTAATATTTTTAAAATATTTACTCAAACAACATTAAATGACACACTGTTAGAAAGATACTTGGACCATTGAAGAAGGTCTTAATATCACTTCTACCCCAAATCAACTTTTCCTCTTTTACACAATTTAATACATATGTACACCAATCAAACTTATATAACTTATATGATTCAGACAAATACGGTAGAAGCTTCAAATTGCATGCACCTTGTTTGTTACATGATCCAAAACATGTACATACAAGAATAATAAAGTTTGCAACAAACACCATATCTGCTTCACATCGTTCTATTATCTTGTACACAACATCATTTGGAGTAATTAAAGACAACGACTTCTTGAATTGATATTTCCATATTTCATACCATTCCTCATTACCTCTTAAATCAACACTATTTAACTGATCAACCCCCATAGGCAGCCCTAACACCCTATTAACATCTTCCCTTGTAACCAAAATATTAGAAACCTCAGTTTTAATAACCATCTCTAAAGGATCAAACAAATCAACAACAAAATAACATAATTTTGTTGGAATACTTTGAGTCTTCATGTCTATCAATGATCCAAACCCCAAACTCCTCACACATTCTTTTTGCTTATGATTCATTGACTTCACAACACCATATATAGAATGAAGAGAAACACGAGAATACAATGACTTTATTTTATCACTATGCAACTCCATTTTCTTTTTAACTTTCTTATCAGCTATATTATCCACCATCTTCACACTACTACTGGAACCATCCTCAAAATCAGAATCACTAGAAAACTCGACAACAAAATTATCAACATACAAACAATGTAAAATAATATAAAAACATTAATAAAACATAATCATTAAATAAATAAAACAATAAATAAGTAACATTATATTCAAGTTTACCATGTTCGGAGACAAATGTTTTACTAACTTTTCTAACACTTCTGTTAACCAACTTCCTGCTCCTTGTAATGCTCCGAACTTCATAATCAGAATCACTTACATAATCTAAATTATGTCCAAAAAAAATAAATTATAATCTACATTAATAATAAACTTAAATAATAACCACACAATAAAAAATAACCTTCTAAATCAGATGATTTTGAATTTAATCGACCAAACAAACCATGTTTTCTCTTTTTCATCGAACTATAATCAGACTGACTAATATTATTCCTTGGCTTTTTCTTCTTCCAAGAATTACTAGATGAAATGTCAATTGTCTTATTCCTAGAATTACTGGAATAAATCTCAATTGGACTCTCATCATCTACACATGCAGCCATAACAAAATCAAACCGAAAAAAAATGATAAAATAAGTCAATTTGAAAAACATTAACAACAACACATCATAACTTACTCTCCTTCTTAACTTCATCATATATAAATTTTTTCCCTTTAGATACTTCATCATCTTCTATTTCTATAGGATGATCACGAGAATTAACCATGCAATCAACTTTAACCACGTTCTCATTTAAGTAATCCTTCTTTCTGGATATCATTCGTTGTGATGTAATTGTAAATTTCTTCATGAGTTTCAAATTCAAACTTTGCCTATTCCTGTTCACTTTAGCATCTAACAAAGCTTTAAACGCAAACATTATGTTGAATAATGTTGAAATACATAATCTAATATATATAAAACTAAAAGAAAACCCTCTGAATAAAATTTCAAACAACATAAACGTAGACCTTGAAACAATTACGCATAAACGGTTACATCAATTTGAAAACCGACTACTGACTTGTCAATGACGGTTAGATTCAAAAAAGATAACTACAAAATAAAATTATATTTATAACCTTTTAATTAAAAAATTTATAAAAAACAAACGATTACGTGTGAAATAAAAACAACAACTACTCTAATACATATGGTTCTTTCCTATTGGTTCTTACCATTTTCACATCTTACTCTCATTTGTACACGAACCCACTTCTATATATATATATATATATATATATATATATATATATACTAACTTATAAAAGAAATCCTACTATTTCTATAAATAGATCCAATAAAATAATATTATTTTTTTAAGACGTTCAACTCTCTAAGCGTAAAGTACAACTAATCATGAATAAAATAATATTAAATTTTAATCTGATTACCTTTGAAATCTTATATCTTCCAAAAATTTGACTAAATCTCTTATCCAATTAAAATAAAACAAATAATCCATTATATATGCCCTTTTATTTGTAATTTTTTTAAGCTTTATTTATTTTTTATGCCCTCTAATCGAAATTGACCAATCAGTTGTAAAATCAAATATTTTGTTTAATATTAAGAAAAAAATATCTATGTATGATTTATGACTAATAGAAAAATTAGTATTCCATTTGTTATTCATGTTCCATGAAATATGGTTGTATTAATTTTATTATTTTTCGGTTTAAAACTTTAGATAGTAAAGTGGATAATAGGATATATCCGTTTAGATTTATCTGTATAAAGCAAACCGGGTTGTTAAGATTAACTTTGATTATCCCTTTTATTAACTTTATCAATACCAATAAAATTATAAGTAAGTCACTTTGTATGGATGTGTCCTGATTTCTAAAATGAAGGACTTTAAACGTACACTAGGAATATATATATATATACACGCACGCTTATTTTTGACATGACTTCTAAAGTTTTGCATTACTGATTTTGTAGGTGAGTTTTTTGGCATATTTTTAGCGAGTTTTTTTTCAATGGACAATATTTAAAGTGTATTTTATCAAATAATGTTATTTTAATAAGTATTTACCTAATAATTGTATTTTATTATTCAAATTAAAAAAATAAAATACAAAACCAAAACTACAATACTCTACCTGTACCCTCTTTCCCTCTCGGACGTTTTTTTTAACGTTGAATAGCAACTAACTAGACCAAAAAAAACTCATAAATTTATCAAAGTGTTAAAAATTAGATTTTGAAAGCGTAAGTTTTGATCATGAAACTTGTACTTCTTATGAACCACCCAACAAAAGAAGAAGCAACAATGTCATCAAAAAAAGAAGAAGCAACTAGATCTATCAAGCACACATTTATTCCAAAAAATCCATAAGCTCCACCAAGCCGTAGTAATGATAGCATCCAAAATCAGTTTACAAGTCATTGAGAGATGAGAAAAAGAAACAAGGTCTTCAAACTCGTTCACCAAAGCAAGGAAAGAAAGATCCATGTTACACCATGTCACAACTTTGGAGAAAACTTGCTTGACCACAAAACTCTCCACAAAGAGATGAGTCGCATTTTCTAGCACATCAACACAATAAGGACAAATATGACTAGGAACATCAAAATTGTGAGACAAGAGATTATCCATCTAAGGAAGGTGATTTAACATCACCCAACAAGAAAAAAACATTAACTCTAATCGGGAGAAATCTATTCCAAAGGGTGTGATGTGTACCATTATCTAAAATAAAGTCATCAACAGCCATGTGAGTGTCTTTGACTGTAAAATTGTCTCCAATATCCAACTTCTGAGACAATCTGTCCGCAAATTGAGTAGATTGCCAATACGCCACCAAAGCTTCCAAAGTCGAGCTCTCTACCTCCTATAAGGTCATTCCTCACCCACACATATTTCCAAAGTTTGGTATTATTCCCGTTCCCAACTATATTTTGTTACATATCCAAAGAAATAATTTGGTCGTCATGAAGCTTAATAACAAATTAACTATAGCTGACCATACACTATTCCCTAGTAAACCCCGAGTATGAGTAACAAAACCACATGTATCACGATGAATAGATTTAATAATATAAACTCAAGGTATGTATGACATAACTTTTTTTTTTTCGGTATTAGTAGCTTATAAACATGTATACACATGTACAGCTGAAATAGTCTTAAAGAGTAAAAAAGCTTGCATAGATTTAGCTAAGATCATCTCATTTTCTTTCAAAAATAAAGTAAAAAATACGGTAAATAGTGTTTCATCTCCAACCATACTCCATTTTTTACCTTATTTTATCCTCAAAAAGTATATTCCTTGTATATTTCAATCTTCCAACTTATATAAATTATCTTACACACTCCTTCTATTAATTTGTTTTTAACAAATAAATAATCTATATTTTTTTCATTACAATAATATTAAATAAATAAGATTATATTTATAATAATTAATTATAATCTTTTGTAAAATACGTTATCGTCTTTTAAAATTTCAATATGTATTTAAATTTTTATATGAATTGATAAAAAAAAAGAACAAACTTTATATTTTTAATTAATTAATATAATTTAATATATAACACAATATTCTAAGTATTAAATATTAGATTTAATTATTATTAGTTGATAAAAATAAACTAGAAATATATAAATATTTAAAAAGAGTGACTAAAACATAAAACTCAATGTGTATCCCCATTTTGGGGGAAATAAATAGTATAACACCATATTATATGGTGTTACACTATTCATCCCCCCCCCCCCCCCCCCCTCAAATGGAGGAATAAATAGGGTAGGGTTGGAGAGGAATGGGGGAAGAAATGGAGGAAATAATAGAAAATGAGAGTGAGTTGGTGATGCTCTCAGAGTTAGGAGTATTTATCTCCAGTTTCAGTTCTAATTTGTTGTATAAATGTGTGTATTTGTATGATATCAATACACAAACAATTTATGATTATTTATATGGTATTAGAGCCTACCTTATAACTCTCAATTTTTCTTCTCTTCTCTATTCTATTGTTTCTCGTTCCCTTCCATGGCAACATGAACCCCTCATCTTCTTCACATGGAAGCCACCATCGCCTCCATAATTAACTTTAAATACCTTCAGTTGTTAAGCTCAATCGTGAAAACTACTCTTTATGGCGCATAACAATTTTTTTGGATCTTGAAACCTTTGATTTGGATGATTTCGTTTACAATCCTACTTCACCTCTACCCACCATCATTATTCCAGCCACCGAAGGAACCACTAGCAACGTTGATTCTATAGAAATTCTAGGCACCTTGGCTTCCACCACACCCAACCCCGACTTTACTACATGGAAGAAGCACAATCACTTGTTCTCTTGTGACTTTAATCCACCTGGCCCAAAAAAGTTGTAGCTATTGTTACCCAATGTAACACTTTGTAAATAGCATAGTAAGACCTAGAGAAAGCTTTTCAATCCCAAACTAGGGCTTCTTGGATGCAACTAAAATCCCAACTCTAGTCCCTTTCCAAAGGTCCATGACCATGGTTGAATACTCGAACAAAAGCGATCGATAACTGACACTCTCGCCAAAAATCTTCATCCTGTAGCTGATGAAGATCCTAGTGGCCATCTCCTCAATGGAATAGATTCGTCCTACGGTGCTTTTACAATGACATTTATGATAAATATAGAAGTTTTCACCATCAATGATCTTTCGGGTCTATTACTTCAAGAAGAAGCACGAATCAAACATGACCATCTTCGAAAAGCCTTTATTCAGACAACATATGTTTCTATCACTGTCAATCGCTCCAACAATCATCCTAATACCAATTTCAATGGGAAAGCCTCGATGTCTTCATCTATTTCTCGTAATATTGATCCTCACCGTAAGAGACTAATTTGTCAAATCTACAACAAACAAGGTCATAAAGGCCATTAACTATTGGCAAAGGGAAACTCAGACATATTTTCCTTCCTTTCAACCTACTCCTATAAGTCAACCCCGACAGGATCATATGACTCAACATCACAGTCCTTCTACTGTGTTTGATCCCTTCTAGTATTTTAACATAGGAGCTACAAAACATGTCTCTCCCGACATTAATACCAAAATGAGCATAACAAATGAATACAAGGTTCATGAAAAGATCCACGTAGGAAATGATAACCATTTCAAATGAATACAAGGGTGATGACAAGCTCAAAGTAAGAAATGATAACCAATTCAAATGAATACAAGGGTGATGACAAGCTCCAAGTAGGAAATGATAACCGATTCAAATGAATACAAGGTAATGACAAGCTCCAAGTAGGAAATGATAACCAATTATCTATTTCTCATATTGATTCGTCTTTTTTGCCTAATCTTAAATTTCCCAATATGCTTATAGTTCCCAAACTAACCAAAAATATTCTTAGACAGAGGGTGTGTGTGGGAAGGAACCCTCACATTTTTTCTGCCACATCAGCCTTTCCCTTACTTTTCTTTCTCTCACCAAAACCCAGGGTTTGTGTGAGAAGAATCTTTCACTTTTTATTATATATATATATATATATATATATATATATATATATATATTTCATACGAATACTATACTTATTTTGTAGGGAATTAAAAAACATGAATTTTGATATATTTTTTATAATTTTCTAGTAGGTATTTAATTTAATAAATATTAAAAAAGTTGAAAAATATAAAAAATACATACTAATCACACCATGAGAGAGAGTGGGGGATACACTCCCCTCACTCTTTTTCCCTCACCCATGATATGGTGTTCCAGGGTGGGGGAAGCTTTCTCTTATTCTTTTCCTTCAGCACACCATTGGGGCTTAGTCTCGCTAAGTTAATTGAGGATGATAATATTTACATGGAATTCTGGCCTAAACATTGTTCTATTAATACTTTGTAGTGTCAAACAATCCTCTATGGAGACGTCAATG